GTTTCGCAAACGTAAGAGAAGAGGAGGCGTGGACTTGTTAGGTTTAGGGATTTATTAATTAGTGGTTGGCAAAATTAATGGAAATATTAAATTGGGTTTGTTTTTGAGTTTTTTAAAAAAATAATTAAATAAGAAAGGGTAGAGTTGAGAAATTTATGGGTATTGACAAAAAAAGGGGTGGTTAGATTTAGAGGGGGATTGTTAGATTTGAAATCAAGAAAAGAGGTTTTATTAGCAATTGATTCTCACAAGCTTGAAGTGGTTGATTGCCACTTCTTCGTTCATTCAATTGAATATTAGCATATGAAAACCACAGATTACCAATGTATTAGAAATGCGAAAGTACCAATGTCAAACTCAGATTACCAACTAAAGAAAGCAAAGACTGGTTCAATCTTACAGCACTAATCAAAAGGCTGAGAACACCACTAAGACCCTTTTCCAAAAATATTCCCATCTTGAACTTGGAATCAGAAAAGGCCTCAACATTTAGCTCATTCTTCGACTTGAGCTGATTGCATTTCACCTGCAACATAAAGGAAAGTCAAACACAATCCATGAAGAAGAATATAAAGACTACAAAACATCATAAGATAAACCACAAGAACAAGGAGACTTAACCTACACAAAAACAAGGAGATTAACAAAGAAACCATTGTTATGAGACGGTGGTACAAACTTAGTCTTGCCAACATAACGTATACAGAGAAACCATTTCTAGACAAGTCAAGATCGGAATCCATTGATACGAATCTAACTAAGGTAGAGAAAAGAGTATTTCCGGTCGATTTCAGTCACAAAACCTGCGAGGGGGATGGGTAAGGCTTGGAGATTTAATTAAGAGAAGCCATTTATCGATCGAAACTTCTTCTTGTGATGGGTTTCTAGATATTTCCTAAAAAATGAGAGAATTAACGGAAAGAGAAAGAGAGACAAAGGCGTTTTCCTTCTAGATTCATCCACTATATCCCAAACACACAAATCACAATTACAAAAATAAAACCGTAATAATGAGCAAACCAATCGGTCAAAATAGAGAAGAACCTCGAGGTTTGCACCCTATCGATGAAGAGCTCGAATCTCCTCGGCGTTTCCATAACTCGCTGGTACAACAATTATCTTTTCCAATCGAAGACCTTCCCCTATCGAATCGAAACACCACTAAGAGAAGCAGAAGAGTTGTGACGGGGAGCAGGAGGCGTGGAGGAAGGAATCCGAGATTTGGG